GGAGACCAAAGTTCGTTTCCCAAGCGGCGAGAAAATTTGTATCGAGTATTTCGGTCTTTCTGATATTGTATCCCGCTCATCCAGGGCTGGTCCTGACAGGCAGGGTTGGAAGCCCGCCTGTTAAATGATCTAAATTGTGTCGATTGGGGCGTAACAACAGCTACTTTTTTTTTAAATACTCACTTTCTGCGAGTCCACAAGGGCGTTCTCCAGTATATGCACGATAGAGACTCCGTCAGTGAGACACATGTGCATGCGGAACAGAAGAACGGTGTCTCTGGGCTCCCTGAAGTTGTGTAAAACCTGACGAAAAATGCAATTCTGAGTAAAACTTTGTCCAGCCAGTGTGTCCTCGACAATGGGCGGCCGTCATAATATACAAATACAATCTGAATCGTATTTCGCTTTTTAATCCAAATTTTTTGTCTTATCCTGAAGCATTACACGTATACTACAATTCATGTGAGTCCATCGGTTAAACAGTTCATTTCAATACGCCAATTTAGCATCAAATCACACACTAATAGATCCTATGAACTACTATGGTTAAGCAAAACATGGGACTTCACTCAAAAATAGACCTGCAGGCGTGATAATCTCACTTGGCGCAGTGTGTTTTGATGCTTCTCTCATAGACCTCTTTCACTCACTATTTGCTGTTTGAGGCCGAGAGAGCAAATGTGTTAAATATATAATAATATTTGTCCGCCAATACACCCCCTCCTCCTGACAATGGAGACCCTGGGTGTCCGTATTAGGTCAAGAAAGTTCAGAATGGAAGGCTTAAGTTTACTTTTACCAATTCCTCTTGGATACCTGCACTTCCCATAAAGGATGCTCCAGAGACATCGGTTCCGCTGCCATCTTTGAGATAAACTGCTGTAGATCTTCTAGAGTTTCGATGTAGCCTGGCATACTGAATACGTGTCTGCTCACAGAAAAGTGGCGGTCCGGCACCCATGCATGTCCACAACAGAATTCCACAACCTGCAAAATATGTGACGAAAAGTGAGAAATTCCAAGAATCTAATCAAAACCTTGAATCCATGAAAACATTCATGCGAATTCACAATAACTCCCGTTGTCGACCTCGTCATTATCAAAATTGGTGGATAACCGCTTCGTTTTCTTTGTCGTAATGTAAGTATCTCATCGACACAATTTATATTTATTTTAGGAGGTAGGCTTTCGACATTGTCTGTCAGGGCCAACCCGGGCTGAGAGGGATACAACATCCTACTAGAAAGACCGAGATGCTCGATAAAAATTCTCCCAACTCGGGAATCGAACACAGGTCTCCTCGCGTGCCCTATGGAAGTACCTAACCGCGACACCACAGACACCAGAATCAAAACCGTGAATCTCTTATAGGAATTCACTGTAACTCTCGTAGCCGATTTCATCATTGTATCAACCGGCGTCTGTGGGGTTTGCGGTTAGGCGCTTCATCGTCGCACTCGGAAGGCGGGAGTTTAATTCCAATATCGGTAAGTTTTTGGGTTTTTTAAAAATCTAATTTTTTTAAATCTTCTTCTTTTCCCTGTGATGATGAATCACTTTCAGCACAGGTTGGCCCTGACAGGGTCGAAGCGCCTCGCCTCCTAATCGATCTAAATTGTGTCAACGTCAGAGCTACAAACCTACAATTACAATAGATCTAATCACTTTACATAACAATCGACCATTACAGCTTCCTTGTCAACTTACGACAAACCAGGGCAAACCGGGCTGAGTAGGGATACAGAATCCTAAAAGAGAGACAGCGATTAAAGATACTCCCAAGTTTGAACCTTGGAATCATGTCTTTTGAGTTCAACGGTTAAGAGCTTATAAAAGCGTATATTAATAATAATAATAA